TTCCTATAATTCTTCAAAGTTCCAGTAAACTCCCTTAGATCACAAATAATCATCTTTTTTTTGTAGCAGCGGTAAAATGGAAAAATTATGATTTTATTTCGGATAAATTATGTTTTTACCAGGGTACAAACTCCATAGAATTTGTGGACTTATATCTTTAGGATTCAGTTTACGCAGCACTTTTGTCTCCAAGCTCATCGTCTTCTAAGCGCAAAGCATTTGTTACTCTTTTAATGAGTCAATTGCTGCCATCTTTGAGGTGCCGCCACCGATGATTGATTGCTACACAATGTCGCATTGGATGCGCGATTGTTTAATATTGAGGAGCTATTGTATTGAATTGATTCTCTTAAAGAGAATATGTTTATCCGATTCCAATCCTATGGCACTTTTCTTTTTCAGCTTTTGAAAACAGCATGCCAAGACATTTGAGACCTCTCTTTGATTAAATTGTCCTGGACTTGCGTTGATAAGTGAGACTACCAAAGTTAGTCGTTAGAAATTACATTAACTTTTACTTCTATGTTATTCAGATACGTAAAATTCAAAATTTTCCTTGTAGTACACGATAGTCGCCTGCGAGGGTTTTCAGTCCAATTATAAAATTTTACCTTTGACAAAATCGAGAATCTGGTAAAAGATAAGAAATTAGAAGGATTGCGTTACGCGTTTAGTAATTAGAGAAAGTCTAATAAGTAGTAAACAACAAAAAAGACAAAAGAATACAATATTGCAATAGATAACTTTATAATACTAAATATTTTCAGGTTCAACAGATGTTGACTTCTCAGGGTAAGCATTGCCTGTCAACATTTGTAGCTCAGAGCATAAGTACTACTGAGAACTCTGTAGTTACTACACTTCCCAACCGCCCTTTTCCTAATAATTCCGAATTGTTCAATATTTACGAGTGAAAAAAAATGAAATACTTTTTAAAATTTTATTAGATTTATGCTGTACACTACAATATACAAATATCACAGACTTTGGTGAAACTGAGGTCCGGAAACTTCTTTCTTTGAGTCATTCCGATTAATACCCGTGTAAACCCGTCGCTACTGAGGATCCTCATCCTCCTCTCATATCAAAAGCAGGGTTACAGTTGTCAAAAGGAGAAACCATATTGGCATGACCGAAGTTGGAGAAGCAGGGGAAGACATGAAGAGGCTTTCTACTGAAAA